AAACAGTCTCGATTAAAATTAGGATGTTATGTTCCTTTAAATTTTGAACAAGATTTTACAAATCCCATTTCTGTAAAAATTACAGTTCAAAAGTTGTAACTTATGCTATTTTCCCATAAAACTCCAAAAAATTGTAAAAATAGGATTTTAGGAAAAAAGTCGGTTTTGATCAAAAATAATATGTTATGGTTCTTAAATTCTAAAAAAATATTACAACCCCCATTGCTGTAAACAGTTACAGGAACTTTTGTGATTTTTCCTTATGAAATATCATAGCTACTCCCACCGATTACCCCTGATAAAGGTTGTTGACAAGCTTATGGGAGAAAGTATGTGTCAGATTGCTGATACCATTTATTTACATTTACTTAGTTATTTTGTAAACATAGCAATCCATAAGGCCAATGTTAAAAATTAAAAACTTTAAATTACTTTTAAGTGATATACTATAGGCATTATTAAAACTGGAAATTGTATCGTCTCAAACCTTCCGATACATTGTCAAAAACCCTTGGTAAGTTTGGCTAAAACATGTCAAAGGATGTTAAGAGCTCCGCCGCTGCCGCTTGTTAAGAGTCCTTGGAGCCTAGTTGTTCTACCTACGGTAATAGATACTTCCCTAGGAAAATTAGATAAAAGAGTGTCATGTAAAAAAAGATTTTAAATTGACAACAATTTTTTCTAAGTACTGAATTAAAAGATATATTTTACATTTACCTTGGCTTCACACAATCATAACCTCCGCAATTACTTTTTATTATTTTTTTTTGTCAACACCCCTATATTATACTGGGAAATTACTGTTTAATTTTTAAGCTTTTTATTGCATAAAACCGAATTTCCTATGTCAATCCTATGTTCCTCTGTACATATTTATAATTATTATTTATTAATAGGGGTCTGCGGTGCACCGAAAAAGTCGGTACGGTACGGTACAAGCTTAATTACCGTCATCGGTTCGGTACAGCATTTTACACGGTACAAATTCGGTTCGGTACAGCCTATTATAATAATAAATTACTTTCAGTTTACTATCGTAGTCAACAGCAGTTGGTTCCGAGCACATAAAAGTCTTATCAGATGTTTGTTTACGATCTTCATAATTTATTACTAGCGTGATGATGTAATAAAAAACCCATTAGCAGTCCCAAATCCATTAACATTTTATCTTGACAATAATTGTTGTATTGAAGTACTTCCAAGAACTGTTGAGTTTTATCACTTTTATTTCTTTACGACTTTCCCCAATTCTGTTTTATCATAAAAATATTAGTTTTATGATGACTGTTAAATGTTATCTCTAACTTAATCAGTACTAGTGTACATGTTGCTCGAATTCGAGCAATAGCAATGTATTACAGGAGTTATTTCAAAACGAATAACAGTCATATTTACAATGAGTTTAAAAGAGTCAACTCAAAGATTACCGGTGTGTAACTCAGACCATGTTTATCTTCGTTATTGATAAACCTAAAGCAGTCTGGCCGGTTTTCTCCTTCTCTAAACGCCTCGCTGTACAGGCAACACAGGTCATTGATGGAGGGCCAATTGAGAACAAAAAGTCGTTTTGGGGTAGTGTTAGGGCGCATTTGTAACCTAATAGTTGAGTGTGTCCAGGGTCAGGTGCCGACTGTGATGAGTTAAGCCTAATACTCGCCACTGATCTGTAGCTGCGGTCGTTATCACGATTACGCCTCCTGTCTATGTTTCGTTTTCGTCGCGTCGGAGACATTTAAAAGAAAAAAACAACAACAAATAAACAAATTATAGGTACACAAAAACACTATAAATGCACAAATTTAAGTTATAATCATGCTAACCCGATCCGTCATAGCGACACAAAACAACCATAAATACACAAATTTAAGATAAAACCATACTAACACGATCCGTCTTGGGGGTTATGTTTACACAAACTCAAATAGTAAACAAATGTACTCAATGCGTTTCATTGAATGAAAAATAAATAACAGCAATTAAATTATACAGCTGATCAAAATGTAAACAATTATGTTCCTCATAAGGATAACATGGGAACTTTCAAAGCCACTGGGGCAGAGCCCAAAGGACTTTTTCAAAAATGTAAGGCCAGTTTGCAAATCTACGCGACACGCTCTTTCCAGTGAGACGTCAATGAATGAAATCGGTTAATAAATGGCGGAGGAGTTCAACCGACAAAGTTTCATGTAGCGTATTAATTATATAGATTTTCGTGATTATTGAATTTGCCGCTGGCCATTGCCTACTGCCATAAAACTGTTTATGGCTACATATTAAACTTGTAACTAATCTACAATCTTATTTTATAAATTAAAATATTTGTTTTGGATATTTTATCTTTCTATTGACGACCATGGATATATACAAACTTTTGTCGTGATTTTAATTTCAACATCAAAATACAATATTGCACAATCGTGATATTTTAGGCCATTGGCCTTTATTATGCATCCGGTATTGCTGTTTCAGAAGAGAAGCACGTTGATAAATTATAAATTGATATTCCCGTAATTAAAAAGAATTATTTTATAAACCTATAAAACAAAATCATAAAATCTTACATAAAGATAACAAGGAAATTATAAAAAGGGTATAAAGATAACAACGTCATTCTTTCTCTTTGTTCTGCTATTTCTTGGGTTTCCCTTCATCACGCATTCAACAAGTTGCCATGGTTACTAATCACCCATGTCGTTATCAGCTTTTGTGACATAGCGCACAGCAGGGGGTAAAACTTGACAAAAATCGGTAAATCTTTACCTATTATTTAATTACCAATGAATGTACTACTTTATTGGTATTTGGTATTGTATTAATAATCGGTCCAAATGGCAGATTTTTGTCAAATTTTACACCAAATGTATTGAAATTTCAAGGTGAATATTAATAAAACAATTATTACCAAATATTTGTATTCATTTAAAAGATTGATTTGTGGTATTGGGTTCCCCACTGAGTGCAGCCGAGCGGCACTAATGAGGGTCGGACCTTCTTGGGGGTGAACAATAGACGGCTTATCAGACCCTCCCCTCCCCCGTGGTCTGGAGAAAGCATAAACAAACTATTGCACAAGCGTGCGTGACTTGACATTGAGCTGCTTCAACTATAATTTTGTCAAATGAACTGTTATGTTTCAAAATGAAAAACAATAATTTGGGACCATACTGCTTAACAATAATGGACTGCAATTATTGTTGAACATACAATCCATTTTTAACAAACTAAGATTATACGATTCAAATACAATTATAAAAATTATCTTGGTATTTTACTTGGGGTAATGAAGTTATGTAGGCTAGTGTAATTCTTGGTTCATTAAGGTTCTACTGAATTATGTTTGGCAGTGAATAAGTGTAAAATGCAACTTATAAATTCAGGGATACACACCTTTTACACAGTTATAAAGTCTAATTGCCCAACATCAAATCTTACTCTGTGATAATCCAAATTTTAGTTTCAGAAAAAAACTTTGCAAGAATTGTATCCATCTTATAACTTAACTAGTTTTGAAGCTGATAAAAAAAAATGGTCTTTGCCATTACTTCATCATAACCTCCAGTTTTTCATTGTCATCTGCTGTGAACAGCTGGCAAAACTACACTGTCTTCTACTGAATTCTTTTATATGTTTTTAAAATTAAAAAAAAAAACAACTAGACATTGTGTTTTTTGGAAATAATTTACCAGTTTTGTGAAATTATCTTGTCAATAAATGTTTCAAACATGTTTATTCATAATAACTCTTATCCTATTTTTAAACTACTTTATCATGGCTATTCAAAGTATCTCAGAGTAAAATAGGTAAAGCCTTTATCTCAACTGTGATTTTTCTTGACACAATCCTCGTAGTAGTTAAAGGTTTTGTTTTAATAATATGTGGTACAGTAATTGTTGTTAGAAAACCATGAATGTAGGATACTATCCATTTTCATAGTAATGTCTATGTATTAAAGTTAAAAATAATGGTTTAGATACAGTTCTGAGAAGAAAACCGCAAAAATACGGGTAGCCGCGTACCGTACCGATTTTGTACCGAGAACCGAGGTACAAAATATTGTACCGTACCGAACCGTACCGACCTTAAATTTTCTGTACCGCAGACCCCTATTTATTAATAATTAATATATTAATATAATATATTAATATTATATAGGCATAATATAATTTAATATAACATATTAATTAATATATTAATATATAATATATTAATATATTAATAATTATTATTTATATACCTTAAGGTGTAGTACTTAAAAGACAACTAGTAGTACTTAAAGACAACTGATTAAATAATTATAAATCGTAAAGTGAAAATAAAGTTAGATCTTAAAAGAGTTTAATATAAAGAATTACGGTTCTTCAGTCATTGGGATGTAAAACAACGATCTTACTAAACTACATTTTTGCAATGGTAAAATGCAGAAACATACACCGTAGTCTACTAATTAGCCACCATTGATATACCAAGATAAAATTGTATCCATCTTCAATAATTGTTCATCTTTTGTTGTTGTCAACGGTAGCGGGTTCTGCAATGGCCGTTGCCAACCTCAAAACCTGAAATCCCCGCGATTCCCTGTCCATCTAGCTGCGCTGCAACTTAGGCGCGACTATACTTGATCTACGACCATTTCAACTTAGGCGCGAGCTCCCAAGCCTGGTTTCTGGTCCGGGGACTAAAGTTAGGCGCGTCCAACACTAGGCGCGTACTAGCTGGGCTCGAGCTCCCAAACCGCCTCTAAATTAATTTCCTATATGGGAAATTAGCTAAAAACATAAACTTGTCTGATATACACATTGTATAGTTCTGTAATTTCGGTGTACATATTTGCAGTTTGGTATAAACTATAAATAATAGGGATACGCCATGAAGAGCCTTTTAACAACAGCTAGAAATCACCTCATGAACATCATATACCTATTTTTAGTGGCTACATACTTAGAATTTAACATAGGGTATTAAATCAAATTAAACATAAGAGCATATATCATGTATATCACCTGCATTTTGATCAGGTATTCCAACATCTCGTGTGGTCCATCGGCAGATGAAGCAGGCGAGATAGTAGACTTTACCAGGCGTCTTGGCACCCTCAGGGCCTCGTGTGATTGTCGATGCTCTCACTGACAATGCGTTGAAACAGTTAGGACAGTCCATGCATGACCCACATCTACCCAAAACAATAACTTTGTACACAATTATGTTATAGGTATTTCATCATTCATTAATATCATTATCATTGACATAGCCTAACAGAGTTTCCGTCTCAGCTCTGACTTGTCTTATTTAGTGGATGACTCCGATTTCAGAATTATAAAACCCTATATAATTATAAGCCCTTGTCTCCTTATCAAGGTTTTACTGTATATTTATTCCCAATTTAAATAACATTAGATTAAATAAGTAGGCCTACTACTTAGGCTTGCTGCTACAGGGAATGTAGAGAGTGATTTTTTTGTTTGTTTTGTAGCAGCTGTTATAATAATAATTAAATTAATTATAATTAATAGTATAGGACAAAATAAATCAATTAGCCAAATATGATCCACATATCCATTTAAACAAGAAAACTACAACAGTTTTGTTGAAGAAAACTACATGAATTTTGTTGATGGAAAGACAGTGAATAGCACTTGAATCTCACTGGTATGGGCCGAGAGATCCGTCAATTCCTATGACCGAGCCTCCATTCATTGACAGCGTTTCATTGGTTCTCTTTTAACGTCCTACGGAAATCATGATCACTGGTGATGAGTGTTGCTGCGACCACAGACAAAGATCATCAGTGTTTGCTATCAAAAAGCATTATTTGCTAGTCTACACTGGCTTTCCACGGGCCAGAAAAAATCTGCTTGCAGGCCGCATGGGGCCACCACAGACCGTAGGTTGGAGACTACACGATGACCGTAGTAAAAATTGGACAAAAATCAGTCCTGGGTCTAGGTCTTATTTTGCCACCAGTCCTACATCCCTATACAGGAATTCGATAAACACAATTTGAATGGAAGGACATGTGTCACAAATTAGACTAACCTTTTCAAATGAAGGTACTCCTAGGTGGTATTTAGGTTTGTCCTTTTTACATTTTTTTAAATAAGTAAAAACATAGGTACCTCTTTTATCAACATCTTTGTTGTTTTATGATTTTGAGAGCAGGGGTTATAAGCAACAGTTACCGTAGTTTGTAGCATGCCCCCTTCATGCATGACAATATTTTGAAAAAACTCCACATACCACCTTCTTCCAAATAGGCCATTAATTTGAAGAGAATATGTTATGTTTGCAGTTTACTGAGAGGGGAAGTGTGATTGACAGGACGCAGCCTGGGATGATCAGATAACGGACGAACACCAATGCACCACTTGACCACTTGCAGTTTGGACTCAAACTCTGCCGGGTTAGCGGCGTATGTTTTTTTTTATTTGATCAGTTACCAAATGTTTCTTATTTGTGTTTGTGTCGTGTTTAAATGTTAATTTATTATTTTAGTGTTTAAAAATATGACGCTCTTCGTTTGAAGAAAGAAAACCGTCCTTGTACAGCCTGATGATGGTGCCATACAGGTGCCGAGTTAGTTGTGTTTACAACAACACTGGATTGCCTAATAGCAGCTATTTGAACCTTTTTAATATTATTCGGCAATACGGAGGCTAACATCTACAATGAATATTAGTCCTCCGGGATTTAAAAGAAGGAAGGGGGAAATGTTATGTATGCTGAAATACTGTTCTGTAATTTATTCAATCAGATGTTTCATAAAAACAATATTTTGTTGACTTGTTATTTTTGTCATGTACGTTTGTTAAATAAAGATTCTTATTTCATATATTTTATTCTATTTAAATGTAATAACGTTTCAGAATATTTGAGTAAAATCCAACCAGGTAATTGAAATTTGCTTAGTCTGCAGATTTCCTGTGGCGGGGGTAATTTTAGTGAATTTCCCATACCTAAACGAAAAACTATTTAGTTGGTCATTACTAGTAGGCTACAGCTCAGGAACCTGCTTAGCCAAGTTAACTTTATTGATATCTGTTACAAGTTATATTTATCAGGTTATTCTCAAAGAATAATTAACTATCAACACATTTACTCTGACTTCCTTACCTGTTTTTCTTCAAGCGAGCTTCAGCAGTGGGAATATTTTCCAAACAGTTGGAACAATAATGAGCTTCAACCTGAAAAATATAATTTTTTAATGTTTTTGTTTTTGTACAGGTGGGTAGCTTAAATTAAATAACCTAAAATAGAATACTCTGAAAGAATAATTGTGAAGGAGTTAGGTCTAAGCCTTGGGCTATTTTTACACTTGACGACGGCACGTCACCAACACGGTAACAGCACAACGTCATCGGTAACACTAACACAATCTTATGAGTCCTGTCATATTGAGGGTTGTGCTGCAGCCAGGTTGGTACATGCTATCAAGCTGCTGACGCTCCGCCCTGACTTTGCTGTGGCTGTGCTTCCAACAACTCTAGAGCAGTGGCAACACCAGTGGCCCCAGAGCTTAAGAAAATTTTCAAAAAACGTATCTCATCACCATTTTATATGATTATAAATAGTATGTTGATCCTAAAGGCCATTATATCTGTCCATCGATTTTTAGGACAAGTATCAGTGCCGACAATCAACAAATTAAAATCTGAGAGTACAGTATCAGTATTTCAATACCAACAGGGCAGGGACCTATTCGTGGGGACGTTTTGACAATGACGGCTACCAATGCACATTGCAGGTGTGGCAGTCCTTATTTTTATCATTTAATTATTTTACTTAGTACGATAGGTCAGTAATTAGTAATGTGTATAGGCCAAACCTCGAAACCAACATTAGGGAAACGATCATGTAAGCATCTTGTGAGCATCACGGAAACAGTTTTAATATCCACACAATTGCGGTTTTTTTCTTCTCACACAAATAATAGACACACTGTCATAGGCTATTCTTCCAAAATTAAAATTTCACATCCTATCAACAATTCACTGGCTTTTGCCCGGTCTTCCAAATTCAGGTACAATTCCCGGTTTTCCCAGTATCCTGGTCGGCAGGGCATACAGGTAACAACAAATTTATTAAATTTACAGTTACATACTATAGGCCTACTACAATAAGTATTTGAAAACAACATGATAGTGTTTTATCACAAAGTTTTTTCTTTGAGTTGACTTGGCTTCTTGGATTTGTTTATTAGAGAAGAATAGCCAACGTATCCTACACTAAACTTACAACTAAGTCCATATGGGAAATTTCCAAATTATACTTTTGGAATTACCTGCTCATTTTTAGCGAATTTCCCATAAGCTATTACCGTAGGTCTCGTGGTAAGACCTGGACCCGGGACCGATTTATTTTTCATTTTGATGTATCCAGAGGCCAAAACACCATCCGATCAAATTCATATAAACATATATAAATATATGTTTTGATAGTTCTGTTCACTTTTTAGGCCTACTTTTTCAATTAATAAGCGAAATAATATAAACCAGAGTACCCTGAAATTTGTTTTTATTTAAACTTATACGTATTTCAGCACTAAGGCCATGATCACAGTATAAGTTAAAAAAGTATGTAAACAAATAATAGCTATTTACCTTACAAGAGTAGTAAGAGCGTTTTTACATCACGCAGGTGAATGTTGTGCAACGAGCAGAAGCGAGTTGCATAATTTGCCTAAGTGATGTAAACACGCTTTTGCGTAACGTGTAACGTACAAGATTTTACCTGACCCGACAATATACAGGAGGTTACGAACAATATTTTTCATTATCCATTTCACTCATCTTCTAACAGTAACGTTCATTTACAAACAAAAGCTAGGTTAGGACAATTCTTCAAAACATAACAATAAAATTCAAGCGCACAGCTGATTTCTAGCGTTGAACGTCGTTGGCTCCATAGAGGTATATTTTTTAAGTTAAGCACTCAATGTTATTTAAATGGGTTTCATTACCCCACCGAGTGAGTTTTTTTCAACTTTACATCACTCGAGAAGTAAAGAAGTTGTATACATCACGCTTGGGATAGGGAAGTTTAACATGGCGGGTTAGGTAAAATAAATAAATAGTTATATAAATTTATAGTAAATTTTGATTAAATGGTTAGGTGTATTTTTTAACATGTGAATGTGTAAGATTCTTCCCTGATTTTTTCATGTATTGGATTTTGTTTTTGTTTTTGCATTACATTGAGAATTTGGTCGCCGTGTTCTTTTGAGTGTAGGTATATTTGCAGTTCTTCTTTTATATCCATTTTTTCACCCTTTTACTCGTAATTTAGAAAATTTGACACATTCTTCTAATTTGCCATAATTATGATTATTTTCTAATATATGATCTGCATACATTGAGCGTTAGGATGATTGATTGTTTGATTTTACGGCTTGGATATGTTCTTTGAATCTGCATGAAAAAGCTCTTCCACTCTGACCAATGTAGAATTTGAGACAATTTAGACATTTCATTTTGTATATTCCAGATTTGTTATATTAGTCAATTGTTTGTGGGTTCTTGTTTGATAGTTTATTAATTAAATTGAATGCGTTGTTTCTAGATCTATAGATATCAAAATACCAACAGATACTATTTTTGTATCATTTGACATAACCAACTTGTACACCAACATTCCAGTACAATATACAATAAAAATTCTTAAAAATAGCTTATTATATGACTTAGAAGAAAATAAGATAATGAACAAAAATAACCCTCATAAGGAAAACATAATATATTGGCACAGATATGTAGATGACTTATGTCTATTCAAAGGAAATGAAAAATCGTTCACTGACTTTTTATCCTATTTAAACACAAAATCTAAGAAAAATAAAATTTGCAATGGAAATACAAAAAGATAAAATAAATTTTCTCGACTTCACAATTGGAAAAAACAATTACAAACATTATTTAATTTATGTCTGTCAGGTTTTGGAACAATCGACTGTTAGCTTTAGGCTAGCAGGAAGAATTTCACTGTCAGCTTTCTGGTAAGCCCTACGTTGACACATTATTTTAATTCAATCATTAATAAATAATAAAAAAAAATTTACAGTCTGAACTCAAAAACCAGGTTAGCGTCGTCTAATTTCTAACTGATCAGTTACCATAAATGTTTCGTGTTTGTGTTGTGTTTAAATTTTTATTATTAACTTCTTGTTAAATAAAATGTCACTCTTCGCGTGAAGAAAGAAAACCATCCTTTGTACAGCCTGAAGATGGACATAGGAGCAAAACTAGTTGTGTTTGCAACAACATTGGATTGCCTAATAGCAGGTAGGTATTTGAACCTTTTTTAAAAATATGAAATAACTTAATAAGTAAGTTATTTTACAATTGGATTGTAATCTTTGATAACCGAATGATCTAATAAAATCATTCGTAGTTGCAGCTGACAACTACGATAAGGATAGGCCTACAGTAAATAACTTAAATAGGCCTACTGTGCAGTATCAACAAACAATTTAAAAAAAATTATATTGAAAAGAAACTATTCTAAACTAACCTAACCAACCAAACTTGCTGCAACATTTCAAAACTCCATTTAACAGCCTATTCCCAATATGCCTTTTCTGTTATAAAACGGAATTTTGAAACGGTAACTTAGCCTACAGCAAGTATGGTTAGTTATGTTAGGTTGGTTTAGAATACAGTAGAACCCCTCATATCCGGCCACCACGGGACCAAGCCCCTGGCCGGATAGCGATTTGGCCGGATAAACCAACCTACTACAAAAATGAAAATGATTCATACCTATAATAATGTTAAATCAATACATGCTGTCAAAAGTATCATTTAAGTCTATTCTAGGATTATTTTTTGAAGAATTAACATGTTTGTACAAATAAAAAAAATTATTTGTAGGCTAAAGTTGTTAAAAAAAACCTGAAATTAAGATTTCAGGTAACAAAAACTATTAAACGATGGAGGTAAAATTAACATTAAATCAGCCTTGAAGATTTTTAGGACCTTAATAGTAAATACAATTCTACTCAACTTTTTTATCCTTTTTGTGAAATAAATACAAAGATTAATTTCCCAACCCCCAACTTTTTAGAGGTTAGGCCTAGTTCAACTGAGTTTAGTGACACAGTAAAATGTATTGAAACAAACAGATAAATAGTTTAGCTCAAACAAGTCGCAAAGACTAGTGCTTGCATCTAAACGTCTGTAAGCTTTGAGAAAAACATTTTGATATTGGCTTCCTGGAAGTGGCCGGATAAACAGAGGACCGGAAAAACCAAGGCCGGATATCAGGGGTTCTACTGTAGTTTCATTTCCTCCAATAGGTATATAGGCTATTATTTTTGCCTAAACAATGTTAGTTCTTAATTTGTAATTTAAATGCGTTTGAAACTGCATTAAAACACTGTACTGTACTAAAATATTGTTGTACTGTACTGTACTGTATTAAAACAGAAGAAAGGGTGATCAAGAAGTAAAAAAAAATAACGATATATCAAAATAAATCATCGATAATAATGAATGTTCCCTTTAACAGGAAAGTACCTAAGTTATCCATTTACCTTATTACATAGGCCTACTTTTTTATAAAAACAAATGCGTCCAGAGGAAAATTCCGTATTGTCACCGACCGGTAAAGAAATGTTGAATAGGCTATTCAAACAATTAACACTAGGCCTAATACCGAAACCCCGGTCTAACAGGCCCACGGGAATTTTTACAAACGTATGTTGACAACACTGTTTACTAAGGGGTTCCATTCCCCCAAAACCTTACCCCCTTTTCCACCCCTACCTGTTGATATATTGTTTGTTCATTTTGCGTGGGTGCCGTGACCTTGACAGGTTTGTCCATTCATAACATGTCCCAGAAGCCCAGCGTTAGTGTATTTTAAAGGGCGGTCTCACAGGCCCAGGGTTTCGGTTTGTGTGTTTCTAAGCGGGGTCCATTATTTCCGAATGGGGTCTTACAGACCGGGAGTTTCGGTATCTATATATTTAATACACAGTTGTAACACTGTTTTCTAAGTAATTACTGGACCGATCTACAAGATTTATGTCTCAAATTAAAGGGGATAGTGTGTAGATTTGCCGAACTTTCTTAGAATTTACGTTTTTTCTAAGGGCTACAACCTACAGCCCTTTAAAGGTCGAGTCAATACAATTCTTTTTGAAGAATATAATACACAGTTTATAAATTATTCGTCAGCTGTTTAATGT